TGTCCTTCTATTATTTTATTTGTTAATTGTGTTATGATAAGTCTTGTTCCATTGCATAGTCCAGCAGATTGATTTAGATTTCTTAGAAGCATTATTGGAGTTCCGAGTTTAAGATTTAGTTCATGTGGTGGTAAACCGTTGAAATTTAAATTGTGTAAAAATTCTTGAGGATATAAGAGATTTAGTTCTTCTATGTTTTCTAATGAAGGCAGTATTGTATCATAACTATAATAAGTTTTTACATCATTAGGTACTAAGGATAATATATAATTATTTATATCGTCAGCAGTTTTATTTTTCGGTGTTACAATTGCGCGTTGTATTAGGTACTCAATGTTATTAAAATTGTTGTTAAAATTATCATATATTAATGTTGTCATTTTGTCAATTGGATCTAGGTCAAAATCAACAAAGTATTTTTCTTGTATTTTTATCCATGTAATATCTTCATTTTCTAAATCTTTTATTCGTTCAACAGTACCATTTCCTATATCTAATGTCCATTTTGAAAAATTTTCAATCTCCTTTTTTTCTTCTGATGTTGTATTAAAATGTTTTAATCGCATATTTTCTGTTAATGTTAAAACCTAAAAGTGTGGCTATAAATAAGAATTATTTATGCATGCATCTATTATGTGTTCTTTTGTTCCTGTAGGTAAAACATGTAGGATTTGTCGAAAATCACCTCCTAGAATAACTGTCATTCCACCAAATGGTTGGTTAAAATTGTTTCGTAAATCCTGGAGTGTTTTATCTAATGCTTCAAAATAATATTTATTAGTCATAGGTGCTTCATCCCATAAAATTAATGATATTTTTTCAATTAAATGTGCTAATTGCGTTCCCTTTTTTATATGACATGCTGAAAATTTATCTATTGATAGTGGTATTCGAAATCTAGAATGTGCAGTTCTTCCTTTGGGCAATAATAGTGATGTTATTCCTGAAGATGCGACAGCTAGAATTATTTCATTATTAGATCTAATTTTTGTTATAATTGTATTCCACAAATATGTTTTTCCAGTCCCTCCATGGCCATAAATAAAAAATAAGTTGTTTTGTTTATCAATAACAAATTCTAAAATCTTATGGTAAATAATTCGTTGTTCATTGTTTAAATTTTCTACTAATAAAAAATTTTCTATTTTTAATTTATTTATATCATAATTAAGTTCTTCTCTTAAAAGTTTATTGTTTAAATCATTTATTAGTGAACCAGTAGGAAGTGGTAGATTAAAATGAGCTAAAGTTGATGAATTTAGGTTTAATAATTTTTCTAGTTCATGTAATATAAAATTATATAATTCATTTTCTGGTATTTCAAAATATAGGTTCTTAAATTTTTTTTTAATTTTGTATAAGATATCATCAGTCATAAGTTTCCAGTTTTTTTCACGTAATTTGAGTGGGTTATTTACATTACAAAATAATAATATAATAATAAATAGATGTCGTAGTTGTGACGATGTAGACCAAAAAGATGTCTCTAATATGGATTGTTCTCATTCTCTATCATCTCCTAATAAACCTAATCCATAACATGTTGCCTAATATGTTTCATGTGTTATGTTATCAATAGTTCGAAGATTTTCATAGCTTATTATTCCTTTTCGATGATTTAGTAATAATTTTAGATAATATAATTCTCCAGAGTTTGGATGAATATAATATAATCGGCCTATTGTATGTCCTATTTGTCTAGAAGACTAATATTTATATCTACTATTCTAAACATATTTAGTTGAAAATGTTGGAAAATTAATGGCATCGAGTGCGCAGCGGAATTTAAAAATTTTAATCAACGTCAAAGCCAAACAAGAACATGTTCATGATGCTATATAACATAAATACTAAAGATCTAAAACATACCTTTTGAGATTTCAGGAAACTGCACGTCTGACAGATCTAAGCGTTCCAAACAGCAACCGGAAGAGCCTCAACCAACTGGTCTTCTTTGCTATTCTCGTTTCCACAATCGGTGTGCGGGTGGGCACACGTCGTTTAATCTCCTCTAGGTATTCTTGATCTCCTTCCAATCACAAGAGAACCAAAGAAAAAATTGTTCTTGAGAATTAAATAATTTTTCCTCTCAGGAATCTTTTATCAATAGCCTCCAAAAAGTCTCTCAAGTGATCTAATGAGTAATGTGACTTAATAGGCTATTTATAGTGTTTAGGAAGTCATACTTTCGTAACAAAGTTCTAATCGCATCCAGAGTCGATTTTGCCATGTCATCATGCATTTTACGTTACAACCGGTCGACCGGTGACAGAGACGTTATAACTCACCGGTCGAACCGGTCGACCGGACCGGTCGACCTGTGACCGGTCTACCCAACCGGTCGACCTGTCTGCACTGACGAAAGTTATTTTTCCTAGTTTTTCAATACGGGAAACTTGCATAGAGCCTCAGTTTTGATTCAAACAACCCAATAGAGAAATTGCATGATTAAAACAGTCATAT